ATGAAGATATTATGCCATTTATTGTAACAATTCTTCATACTTACTAGAACTACGGAATTGTTACAAGATACTTTTCTGGTTCTGCTTAAAAATACTCATTACAAAAATGAGTGGCAGAGACAATGGGTTAAGGGACACAAAACTATTAAATAAATATAAGGATTTTAGTAATTATTTATAGCTAATACAATTAAAGCCTAAAATAATTAGTTTAGTTAACGGATATAGAATTCGAGTTCAAAATCACACATGGTCATTCTATGAATCAAGAGGTTAACAATAATATTATTCTTTCTAACATAAACCATTGCACGAGTTACTCTAATCTATAATAATAGCTATTCAATACTGGCCTCTGTTAAGTTAGTCGATGGTTTTACGGTTCAAAATCATATTTGAATCTGTGACAATTAATATGTCAAGCGAAATCTTAATTAGGAAACAGCAGCGGCGGATTTACAAATTTTTAAGCTGTGCCGTTTTTGCCGCCCTTGCCTATACAATAATTGTATTTTGTCATATTATTGTCATGTCCTAGATTATATTTTGAATCCAACAATTTCATTGCACGTAAAATAATTTTTGGGTTTAATTTTTGGGCAAAAAATTATACATAAACCATTCAATTCGCGGCCTCCCACCAGTAGTAGGACTGATGTATAGGTTGATAGGGGAGAGAGAAGCGGTTAATACACTTTTTGCGATTTCGCTCTTTTGACTCATACAGTGTGAGCTGAAGGCGCAGAGGGCGGTTACTGGTTGGGGGGTTGGGCAAAATTTGTTGCAGACATCAGAAAACCGTTATGCAGAATCCTTTTTGATTTTTATTAGGTAGCAAAAAAGTCGATTCCCAAATTTGCCGCCCTTAAAATCTGCCGCCCTAGGCTCCAGCCTACTCAGCCTGCTGGTTAAACCGCCACTGGGGAACAGAAACAGATAGCGTATCAAACAATTCTTCAAAGACAACAAAATATACCAGCTAAAGACAGCTTATACAAATTAAATTTAATAAGAAAACCACACCTAGACAGCAATTTATCGTTTTATCATGAGTGTATAAAAGTGTATAATTAAAATCAAATCTACACTGGCTAATATCGAAATAACAAAATATTAACTCATCGAATAGATTTTTTGTAACATAATTATCACCTCGGCTCTCCAATGCGGTGCCTAATTGTGGTGGGTTGAAATGCAACATCTTTTATAGTCCCGCTGAGGAAGCATGGCCGCCGTTACACCGAAATGTATTAATCATAAAGAGAACTTGACTCATGTCTTACATTGTCTTCAATTTTATATACCTTCAAAGATCTCTTATAAAATGTTAGTTATATGGAAGTAGTATATAAAGAAAGCTTCACTACCAGGCTCTATTGCTTCTAATTAAATATATAATAAAAAATTCAGTGGCGCTACAACCACTTTAGGTCTGGGCCTCAGATTTCTGAATCTGTTTCATGATCATTTTTCAATCTAATAGGCAAGTAGATGATCAACCTCTTGTGCCTGACACACGCCGTCGAATTTTTGTTTAAGGTTTTATTTGATTTCAATTAGTTTATAAGGTTGAAAATTACATATATATACTTGTCTTCTTGACCTCAGGACCTTGGAGGAACAAGGAAAAGATATAAGTTTACCTCCAATAGGAAGAAAAATCTATCGGTGCTCAAGGTTTGGACGCACGACCTCAGAGTTCGTGAGAGTCCTTAAGCAGCTTTCAGGTTCTCTGGACAATGAAGCAGCCTAAAACTGTTCATCGCTTGCACTTACATGATTTTTTTATAAATCGATATCGTCGAAATTTCACAAAAAGTTAGTCAACTTAAAATTTAAGATCTGTCTAGCCGATACTCGGGACTTATTATAAAACTTGGCTAAACATGAACATCATATATGATACACATCGGTGTATTTGCGTTCGACTTTATTTTGACATTAATATAAATATCATCGCGGGTTATTACGGCGAGCGTGTCTAACTGAGATCTCATGGGAGGCTGTTAATTATATCCCCACAAAACAAAATATTAGAGGGCGAACAATAGTCAAGTGTGGGGTCGGACCACCGTCTGTGATACATATTTGTAGCTAATTTCATTCCTGATAGGTCGGTGATGATTAAATTTTTATTGCATGTTTTACTTATTGAAAATGTATTAATCTTTTTTGTCGGTATAATAATTATATCTTACTTTGCAGTTATGTAATTTTCTGTATTCTTAAATTATTTTCTAATGCATTTTGCGATCTGCATTTTGAGTAAGGTTTACCTTAAAGTATATTGAAGGATATTGTTCAACAAGAAAACTGAAGAAGCCTTAATTTGTCATTAACTAATTAATTTTAAGCTGTTCGTAAAAATAATTGTAAATAGAAAGTGGTCTTCTATGCTCTACGTAGACAAGAGATATACTTCAGTGTTACCATAACATAGTTATACTCGTATTTTCAATTATCAACCTATTATATTTCTTAAGAATTTCTTTGCTAGTTTAGTCCAAATACTTATGTAAATTCTTATCAATACAACATTATGTTCTATCGTAAATTAGGAAAGCAGAAAGTTGGCGCCAGTTTTTTTTTATTTGAAGAAATGTTTATAAACTTAGAAAATACTTAATAATATCGCCCTTTTCCGTAAAAATGGGAAAAACTTCTAAGCTGTAAAAGTAGAATTCTTTAATTTATTGATCAATGATCATAAATGCAACTTTGTAACTTAATTACTGAGGCCACAGTGGTAGGCTATAAACTGTCAAATTTAACTATGTGTTTATTTTAATTTATGCAATAAAGGTTTTTGCTACTGGTCAAGACAGCGTTATAATCGACAACATTAATTATGTTAATTTATGTTCATGTGTCTGTTTAAAAATTTAACTTCGCACATGCATAATTAGTAACAAAGTTAACTTTTAACGTTCATTAAAATTAAAAGAAAATTAACTTTGCTGGTTTAATATTTAATACGACATTGGAGTTATTTGTGGTAAAATGTGGAGTTTCAGCTCCAAGCGCTCTCTTCTCTCAACTTCCAGGCCTAGACAATGTTAGCTTTTAAGAGAGATGCTTTCTTGAAACGATTTTTAATTAATGCTAATTCTTGTTTATTCATTAAATTTGTGGACTTCACTAATAGTAGAAAGGTATTATTTTTAACTATTGGTAACCTATACCTATTAACCCGAATCAATAATTATTCCGCCTGAGGAGCCCAGGACGTCCGGGTATATACGTGCGTATACGCTACCATAAAGCTAACAAGTTAATTACGTGCTTGCTAAGACTTGGCCTACCAGCTAATTGCATAATAAATCAGTGGCGCTACAGATTTCTGAATCTGTTTCATGATCATTTTTAAATCTAATAGGCAAGTAGGTTATCAGCCTTTTATGACTTTTTGGGTCTAAGACATGTCGGTTTCCTCACGATGTTTTCCTTCACCTTTCGAGCGAATGTTAAATGCGCACATAGAAAGAAAGTCCATTGGTGCACAGCCGAGGATCGAACCTACGACATCAGGGATGAGAATCGCACGCTGAAGCCACTAGGCCAACACTGCTTCAATTGTAACTGCATAATAAACAAATGAAAAAACAATGTTACTTTCGTTAATATGTTATTCTTGTGAACAAAACTTAAATGCTCACAATTTGACAGCTTTACCACCGGCAGTAACAAATAAACTTCTTCCTATATTATTAAAATTAAATAGCAGTTTAGATGCAATTATCTCACTATAAATGTCACTAGCAGCCGCCGGTCGAAGCTACGATATAAATTAGGCGTCTACTATATAATTAACCACTATAAACGAATCACAAATTAAATAATTTATACCTATACAATATTAAATAAAAACGATACAGACGCGATCAAAATCATAAATGCCATTTGACAAGACGTCAGATTAAAAATCGTATTGTCTTGTCATTTATATGCGTCATAAGTGTACATTATCTAATCGTGTTAGATTTTATACCGGCAAAGCAACATTGACATGTTTATTATTCAGAAGCTTATTAAATTATTACTAGGTATTTTAGCTGTGGATTAGTTGACGGACAATAACAAATCAGTAAGTGATATATTTATGTGGCAGGCACGTGTGCGCGACTGTACTTAATGATTTAGCGGACTTAAGCCACGGGCTATGTTTTTTATTAGTTCATGTGAGGTTGAATTTAAATATTAAGGTTATTTATGATTAACCGAGGTTTAGGTCGCGGAACAAAAATATTTGTTCATTCAATGTATGCAATAGATTATATGTTATTATTAATAGTCTTGTGTAGTCAAGAGCTAACTTGGCTCGGCTAGGCAGTGATGAAATCAATCTGTTTATTAACCAAATTTTCCGTAAACCGTTCGTCAGTCAGGCCGTAAACTAAAGCCTTTTGAGTACAAGTCTTCAGTAAATATAATTTTTCCTTTCGATTACATCTTCTACATTACAACTTACATTTCTGTAACTAATAGGGCACAACTTTACTAAGAAATGCATATTTATTGTTCAAAAACTTACCCTAAGAGTCTCCCTTACATACAGAGAAGCAATGAAATATGTAAAAACCTCGACGTGATAACACAGAAATCAATTTGCCATATTAACTATCTTAGGTTTAATTTTTCTCATTAACATTTCTTTCTAGCAGAATGTAATACTGATAAGCTTAATAGTAATAAAAATCGATTATATATTGAATAGTATATTTTATAGCAAAGCCGTAATTGAGACCACCCAACGATCGACTCCACCTCGATGTGGATTAACGTTTAGAAACAATTTTGGATTTGTAATCAATTTTAAGACATTGTCTGAATAATATTTTAAGACATGACATTCACATTCGCTGACGATTACTGAAAAGCTTATCGTAAAGTTTTTTTAAGTTCAGGCAGGAGGATTACCTGAAATCAGAAGGCTCGTGTTGCCGGCCTTTTAGGAAATTATTACGCTCTTTAACATAAATTCTAAAGTATATTTGCGTTTATCATACGAACGCAAATTCCTTTTCTAAAGCCGTCATTTTTTTAAAGCTGAGAAATGTGCCTAATGTACCGTTCTATAAACACGTAAAATAAATAGAAAAATACATTGTGTAGAAAAAGGTTTTAATCGGATAAAATGATTTCAATTGTTATTTCCAATTAGTCGTCAATTTCATATTCACCCTCACGTTATTGCGTGTAAAGAGAAAATTGGAGAGCATTCGAATAGTTCAGTCTTTTGGTTCAAACATCAAACGCTACTCATTAAGTCAATCTCATGACTCAGGGGTTGAATAACGTAGCTTTGTTCCGTTTATAAGAAAAGTAAGATTGGAAGGAAATAATACAAATAAATCCTACGCCGTAGCAGAATAGAAGAAGAAGAGAAGATACCCTCATGTGTGTATAGGCGTATAAGGTATAATGATATTTTATAAACTATCTAATTTTAAATTGGTGAATAAATAACGTATATTGAGTTAGAAGGTCAGAGATGTTTCAATAGACCCTCGTAGTACATACATCAGTATTTTAAAAGGCCAGCAACGCACTCGAAAGCGCTCTGGCATTAAGGGTGTCCAAGGGCGGTGGGCATCACTTGCCATCAGATGAGCCTCCTGCCAGTTTGCCACTGTTCTATAAAAAAATATTCGTATGTATAACTCACCAATCTTCCTGCATTATTATTATGAACATTGATCTTCGACTGCAAATCATCTACTTGATCTCGTACGTCCAGGAACTTCTTCGAGAAGTCGATCCCATACGCCAAGTTGTGGGAGCATCCGCTCCATTCCCACTTGTTACGCCCACGCCCCCGTGGGTCGTGAGAGGCCCTGTAACCCAGCTGGTCACAACCGCAGGAGAGAAGGCGACCTTGTGCGCAAGCGCGGGCTATTGCGTGGGCCACACCCGCTGCTGTCAGCGCGTAGAGGAAGGACGTCTCGCGGAACCCTGGAATTGTATTTTCATTATAAAGAGCTATGGCTTTCCTTGCATTCTGCTTCGCAATTTAACAAGAAACTGCTGTAGAGAAATCTCTGCATCACGGATAAATTTTTAAAAATATAATTTCCATTACATATTTATTATTTTATATCTATTATGAATTTCCAGCATACGAATACGATGTATTGGTTGATTCTAGTCTAACAATATTATTACATATAAATTTTGATACCTAATTCGAATGACGGTAGATTAAATTATACTTATAAAGTTTTCGGTCTTAAAGCTGTATTCGATCTTAATTAGAAATATTGTTTTGTAATATTAATAAGCTACGACACATAAGCTCTTCTGGCCTGAGATAGTCTCTAATAATCAGGTATGGGAGCTATTCAATGAGGTCCCAATTTACAGGTCTATAAAACGCCGAAAGTGGAAGTAGGTCATGCGCTCCGGAGGGATCCAAGTCACCTTACCAAGCAAGCCCTAGACTGGAATCCTCAAGGCCAAAGAAAACGAGGCCGCGCAAACCAGACCTGGCAACGAAGCATTATTGCAGAGGCGAAGGAAGCTGGGATAAAATTTAGAAAATTGCCCCGGATCGATCATGCTGGTTTTCTTCGCTGAATTTCCTCTGCCCCAATTAGGGGACATAGATCTTTAAGTCAAGTAAGTCAAGACACACGAGAGTGATAAGGACATACAATATCTATTGAATGTTTATTATTAAGAATAGAAGGTAGTAGTCTATGAAAGTATTTAAAATAGGAACAGAAAAATACGCTAGTACAGTGTTAAACGGTATAACAGTCATTAACAATTATGTAGCAAAGTATCATTTAATGCAGCGAGATTCCTTCACAATAAAACGGCAAAGTCGTAAAAACGATAATTTTGTAATGCCTATAATTAAGGGCTTTTATGTTTACAAGTACTTTAACTTTTATTGTGAAACTTTATGATTCAGTGGGAGATATCGCAATTAAAACTGCGTAAAATTAAATTCATTTTGATCTTTTTTTAATGCGCTACTGCAGCAGCCAGGTATAAGAAATGAAATGAAATGAAATGAAATAGTTTATTCTTGCAAGTAGGACTATATAAATCACTTTTACAATGTCTTCCTAAACTAGATGAAGTCGACATTTCCTAACTGACTGCCCTGAGAAGAAATGTCGAAACAAACTCGGGGGTCTTAGTCTCTTTTATAGTCCAGATAATACAATAATAAATTAATAAGTTGGTGTAAACAAATGCAGAGTAATTTACTGGACTGGTCTTTGGAACAAAGAACCAGATCGATCTGAGCAAGCCTGCGCCAGCAGACGGCTAGCATGCCCCGAATAGCTCATGCAGCTCAACCATTTTTGAGGGAGCTGCACAACCCGGTACACAACAATACCGCCAGAGGCACCATAAAGATATGTGGGGCAACAACTCACTCAGATCGCCAGCCCAAAATAACTAAGACTAAAATGTATCAAATTATAAATCAAGCAAAAGAGTTTATGAAACCGCAAATGTTTACACTTACAATGGATACAAAATGTATATTTAAGGTGTACCTTAAAGCAAGAAAAATAATTAAATTGAAAAATATAATCGTAATATAAACATTATTCACTTGGCATGTCAAAGTGAAAATATTGTATGCAAAAGCACAAAAATCAGTATTGTAGAAAAGAAAAAATAAATGCACTAAGCACAAAACATGTCAGTAATGTAGAGAAAAAAAAATTTAAAAAAATGAATATGCACTAAGCACAAACATGTCAATAGAATAAAATAAAATGCATATGCAAAAGCACAAGACATGTCAGATTGTAAATATCTACAAGCAAAAAAAGAAAAAGAAGTGAAAGACGCTTAAAAAAAAACACAAGCGAAGCTGTATAAGGAGCAGTCAATCCCAGGTTTCTATATTTAAATAATCGGATATCCTGTAATATCCTTTAGTTAATAATTTTGATTTAATAAAAAAATTAAATTTCTTAAGGGAAGTTTACGAACATCCATAGGAAGTTTATTGTAATAGCGTATAATTGACCCATGAACGAGTTGTTCTATGAAGGGAGTAGCATGAACTGTTAAAATTTGTTCCTAGTCGGGAGTGAAGATCAGACAATTTAACAAAATCCGTTCGTTTTTGTGAACATAAAGTAAATTTTCAAAAATATATTGTGAAGTTAAGTCAGAATGTTTATCTCTTTGAATTTCTCTCGGAGAGAAACTCTAGGACCTAAGTTAATATAGCGCGGACAGCTCTTTTTTGTAATAAGAAGATTGTATTAATATCCGCACAGTTTCCCCAAAGGAGAATGCCGTACGTCATCAAGCTATGAAAATAACTGAAATAAACAATTCTGGCTGTATCCACATCAGTATTTGTCTAATTTTCCTTACAGCAAAGCAGCTGAACTGAGCCTTCCAGACAATTTGTTAATGTGTGGGCCCCACTGTAGTTTAGGTCAACAGTAATGCAAGAAAAACAGTTGACTCAACAGGTTCCAACTCTACTCCATTCAGTTGTACATTGGTGCTTAATGTCTCACATAGGCTAGAAAATTTTATTAATTTAGTTTTACTTGAGTTCAAAAGCAGATTATTAACATTAAACCAATGGACAACCTTAGATAGTGCCAAATTAACTTGGTCAAAATTTTCAAGTTGACGCTTAACTTTAAAAACAAGCGAAGTGTCATCCGCAAATAAGGATTTTGTGATCATCCCTTACACAAAAAAGGTAAATCATTGATATAGATAAGGAATAAGAAAGGACCTAGAATTGAACCCTGCGGAACACCCATAGTTACCACAGATCCTTTTGATTTTTGCCATTAAATCTACACTTTGTATTCTATTGTCTAAATATGAACTGAGAAGTCTAAGAGCCTTATTTCTAATGCCATGTGGTGTAGTTTCTTGATAAGTGTGTCATGGCAACACAGTCAAAAGCTTTGGACAAGTCAAGAATATGCCTAAGCATCCTGTGAATTCCTCCCAAGCCTCGAATAATTTTGAGTAGTTCCAACCTGCACTGCAGTAGACCGACCCTTAGTAAATCCAAATTGTTTGGAGTGAAAAAGATTCTGTCTGTTAAAATGCTTTAGCATTTGCTTTAAAAATTATTTTCTCAAAAATTTTGCTCAGTGTAGGCAAAATTGAGATAGGGCGAAAATTCGTAGGATCGGTTGTACTACCAGATTTGAAGAGTGGAATCACCTTGCTTAACTTCATTAAGTCCGGAAACACACCAGATGCGACACAAGAGTTGAACACAATTGCCAGAAATGGGGAAATACATTCAATTATTGAGGATATTATTTGAACTGACAACCCCCAAAGATCGGTGGACTTTTTTACTTCCAAATCTTTAAATGCACAGAATGTCCTTAGCACTAACAACTGTAAATTCAAACTTGTCCCCGACACAGTCTTTAAGTATGTTGTATGCGGAGCCGAAGACGACAACAAAGTTTGAGTTGTTAATACAGGAATATTAGTGAAAAAGATTCAAACTCGGTTGCCACCTCCAAATCCGCCCTAACATCTATATCATTAATTTTAAGATGAAAATCATTATTCTTAACTGTGGTTCTTCCTATTTCAGAATTAATAATCCAAGTAGTTTTAATTTTGTTTGCAGAAGATCGTATTTTGTTTTTAATGTGTAAAGATTTGGGCAGGCAGGCTCTCTTAAAAGTCTTAGAGTAATTTTTAACATACTCCCTAAACCTTTCACTATGATCATGTTCCTTTCATTATAAATTCAAATAATTTATTCTGCTTTTAAAAATACCTGGTGTGCCAGTCACTAAACAAAACTCGATCACTAACAGAAACTGATCTAGATGTAAAAACCTTCTTAAACTGAGAATTAATCATGTTAAATAATGAAGAGTAAGCTTGGTCAGGGTTATTGTGATAAGGCAAACCAGGCAGTTTTTCATTTAAATTATTTTTAAAAAGTTCTAAACGATAACTGGTTACTGGAACAAAATTAACATTTTTTCGATTTGTTTAACAATGTCTTTAGTAAATGAAACCAACTGGCCACAGTGATCTGAATCTAACAGATTAATAATTGAATAGAAAGTTGGCTTCACATTTGTAAAAACATTGTCAATACAGTGACTGGTGGAATCTAGTTGGCTCAAGGAAAATATTATATAAATTATATGATTTCAATAAGATTAAAAATCTATTAACAATACTAGATTTATCTAATAAGTTAATATTAAAGTCTCCACAGACGGCAACTGTTTTATTAGTATTAGATATTTTTATTAATACATCTTCTAGGATTTTTTTCAAAAGTATCGTATAAGTACTAGGGGGCCAGTATACACTCAATACAATGAACTGCTCAAGCTCAATACATGCTATCTCAGCAACTCGCTCAACAGACAGGCTCACTATGTCGGTACGTTCTTTAAATTTAAGATTATCCGAGCAATAATTAAAGAGCCTCCACGTATTAAATTAACTCTGCTGAACGAGCTGGCTACCAGATGATTGTTGAAGCTAAACATGAACTGGTGGTCCTTTAACCAATGTTCAGTAATACATAAGATATAAGTATAAGTTCATGAACAACTCCAACTCCAATTCTTTACCCATCAAACCCTGAATATTCTGATGTACTAAATTTAAAATATGCTTATTATTGATTTTATTATGAATTTGGAGTTTGATGGATCTCCTAATAAACAACTATGACTAGAACTATTGCAGAGATCACCTCTTTGTCTTAAAATCTAATTTAAATAATTACTTGGAACAAATTCCAAGGTATTTGAGAAAAGGTACTATTATCTATTGCTCAAAGGAGCAGATTGGTTAGCCAAACATTTGGTTCGTTCAAAATACAATATGTAGGAATTTGCTACTTGTCAATATAGATTACAAAGATAATAGTTATTTTTGTCAAAAAGTAATTATATCTAATGATGACATTAGTGTCAATAAATTCAATTTTATAAAGTTCATTGTATGAATTTATATGCATCTGTACCTAGCATTGTTTTCGGTCTGTGACATACCTTTTCCATAAGGAAAAGCAAATAAGACAACTTTATTTACATTAAGTTTTGATAACTTTTCAAAATAACTGATTAACATATTTACTGTTACATTACCTCTTCTCCCAATTAAAGTACAAGTTGTGGATGGGCAATAATTATTACTTACTATTTTATCTAATATTTGTTTTAGGAAGCTCCAGGCATACAACAATTTATGACCTGAGAACCTAAATTTTGGTATAACTTATGAGATATGTTTTGCCCATTTCATCGCTAAATATCATTTTTGATTTTTGTTTATTACATTAGATTTCACATTCAGGTTTACATGTGTGGCGACATGTAAGCTGTTTAGTAATAAAGAAACAATGGCGCTTTCATTTGGTACAGAGAGTTCTACGTATATTTAGTTGATCACTTTTCTAATAACATTTCCAATAGGATAAGCCATCTGTGTCACCGTCAATTTTATAATTTAGACTTTGTTCATAGAAAATCCATTGGTTCAAAATTGGTTGGGGTTCAAAACCATAACCAGGCTTAGGGTTGTGACTAGCAAAGGTAAACATAGCTGAGTTCATAAATTTCAATTTCACTTCAAAACACACACTGATTTCAGATATATAACAA